GAGAGTGAGAGAGAGAGAGAGAGAGAGAGAAAGAGAGAGAGAGAGAATATGCACACATGGGTATTGAGCGCTTCATCTTTTGGGGTATCAAATTGTGACTTCAGCAACTTTTCTCACAGAAAAAACTACTCAACTTATTTACTTAAATAATAAATAAATATTAAATAAAATAATATTGGGGTGGTTAAAAAGTGAACAAAATCTCCTAAAATCCTACTTTCTGCTAAATCCTACCTTGGCTCGAATCTGACCAGAAGTGGATACTTTTCGGATGAGTTTGTGCGAGGTCTCCTCTGGCTCCCCGTCACTGTCCGATGATTCGTCACCCGCCTCGGCTTGAGGATCCGGAGAGGTCAGGGACTCCCGGGGCTCCCGGACATAAAGTACATTTGGATTGAGCTTTGAGGCCATGACTGTGCAGGGGACACGATTTTCACAGCACTCGTCTCCTCCTCTGTGCCAAGTCAGCTCTGAAACAGAGAAAGCTAATGGTATTGATTCCCAAAGAGACTTCTTCTGCTTTCATTTTAAAGCCCATATAGCTCTATGAACTACAGCGTTCATACTGTAGCAAATTCAGTTCCTCTATTTTGATTGCGCTAAGTGTTGAGGCCAACAAAAGAAACCAGTGCACAAACCAAAAGACAGTTAACAACAACAGGGGATTATTTAGTCTATCTATTGCACAACAGCATTAAGGGTAATGGAAAAAAAGGATATTTGAGGTGATAAAAAGGAGAAATAATTTAAAACACAAGATCTTGTGATCTTTGTGTTCATGTTGGTTTCATGCATAAAAAGTGGTGTAACAAACAAGGGAAAGTACTGAAATACTTAAACCTTAAATACCTTGAATTTAATTATTCAATTATTTAATTAGGCCTATTTTTTTATTTTCTAACTACCTAATTTTCTGTCTAAAGGGGTTCTTATCACACGACAACAAAAAAGGTTCCTGAAAATTGATTTGACAAATTGACAAAACTTTTTCAAATATCTCAAATATTAGTAAGATTTTAAAACAAAATTTCACCTTTTTTAAAACAAATAATAACAAAACATTATGCTAAACTAATTTATATTTTTTTCCCTTTAAAAAAAAAAAATCAGCCTATATATATATAGAGAGAGAGAGAGAGAGAGAAAGAGAGAGAGAGAGAGAGTGTTACACCATCAGACTTTTTACCTTAAGCCTCACAAAATCACATATCCAAAAGCATTAAAATTCATGGAGTGAAAACGTATTGATCATACAAAATGCATCCAGGTCATTTTTATTAATTACTTTTTTGCATAACAATAGATCCAGACAAAATAATGAGCAACACGCCATTGACCCTTATGCAGACGGTGAAGCCCATTAACGCTCAGAATCGATCCAAACCCATCTGACATAGGCTAATCCACAGACTGTCGCTGTCAGTGCTTTGAGAGATACATGAACTCGCTGAGTGTTGCGCGTGTTCACAGCTGCGCATTGCTTGCGCTCAAAATCATTCGACTCGGCGACACTTCGTTATCACCTTTCTCGCTGTTAATCTATTTAAGTCGCCTCTTGCCCCAAAATATTGCCTTAACGTGTCCCCATACGTGACAAAACGCGACGCTTTTTGCATCGGACTTCAGTTTATGGCACACACATCTCCTGTAACGTAAACATAAAATAACTACCTGTTATGATGTCGCGCGTCGGCTGTCTACGTTTGCAGAGACGTTCGAGTGAATAATGCCATTAATGATATTTAAACGCAGGCGTCTAATGGGCTTTTGGATTTGACGAGATTATATTTACACAGACATCTCCGACTCAGTAACAGACTCGGCTCAAAAACAGCCGTGTTGTAGACAGCATTAATGTTGTACATACACAATTTAGCGATCTAACGAGAGCAGCGTTCTCCGGCTTCGTCATTTGAATAAATCCGTTAGGGTTTGATTCACTGAACGCTCGCGGCGTTCGGCCATCACTTTCTGAATTGACAAATAGACTCAACTGTCATTCTCGCGCACGATTCCGTCTGCCGCGGTTGCACCGACTAAATGAAAAGCTGGACGTGGACGTGGTGTTTTACCTCTACGGTGCGTTGTCGGTTCCCGTTGAACCTCGTATGTGTGTTCTTGTTGCTCTCGGGCAGCGCGGTTAGATACTGTCAAATCTGCTCCTGTCGCGCACATACGCGCGTGTGTACGCATAGCATCGGATAAGATTTGAATCGAATGGGAGGGGTGGACTACAGCGCGAGAGCGTCTGTGTGTCAGCACATCTGGATGACTTGACAACAGATATCTAAGAAATGTTTGAGAGATTAATCCATCACCTACAGTACTATTATCGTTTTACTGCAGTTCTCAATGCAGATATTTAATGCTTTGCAGGATCGCTTCTGAAACTTCAGACTGGAGGGTGTTCAGTAGGAAGGGAAATCTTCGCTGACGAAATATGTGCACTTGTTGCTACATGTTGAACTGCTTGACAATGTTCTGACCATTGAAGAGGTCACTTGGGTAATGGGCAAATAGCCTAGCCACAGCACCACTGGACAAAAAGGTCTAGTGTGCTATCAAGAATCATACCTTTTTCTATGATAATAAAGACATTTAATTCCTTAAATCGATTGAATATTGGTTCACAATGAGCTTTCTTAACAAAATACATGCTGTAGTGGAAACCTAACTGACTTTAGGAGCCCTAATACAACTGGACATGTCAAAGTAATGCAGTTAACTAGTTAGCAACAGCATACTTCAGCATACTAATTGTCATTTATTTGGTGTAGCAGGAAGTGCAAAAGAGAAGAGACTAGTTACACCAACGGCATATGCAGCGCAAATATAGACTACAACTCATGTCCTGTAGCTATCAGTCCTCAATCTAAGCACAAGCTCCACTCTTTACCAACCAAATCCATTAAAACGCCATCATAACTCATTTAAGTCCCAGTGTAACCGATCATTAAACACTTGTATCTCTCTTCATTTTCTCATCTTGCTCCAAAACAAAATAAACAATTAATGAATAATAAAAAAAAAAGAATAATTATATACTCTACAGATCTAGTCCCCATAGCATGCTGGGAACCAGAAATCCCCTGACCCTTTCCAGTTTATGCCACCAAAAACAAAAATAAAATAAAAAAATAATAAAAAAATAAATCAGTTGTGTACTTTCAACATGAATGGATGATATAAATGGCTACAGAATATATCTGATACATGCTGTTCTGAGACAAGTTTTAGACAATACTTTCATGATATTTGATTACAATCAGGAGGCCAGTGAACTCTCTCTAAACTGTGGTTATCTCACCTGACTTCTCTTGTGCAATTTTATACAGTGGGTATAAAAAAGAATCACCTCTCTTTAAAATAATCACATTTTGGTGCTTTGCAGCCTGAAATGAAGACAGACAGTTTTTGTTTTATCCAATTTACTGCAACTTATATCATCCAAGTGAAAAATATAACAGCAACATGTCAGAAAAAAAATAAATAAATAAAAAACAGAATCACGGAGTTGGAAAAAGGATCACCACTTTGTGTCAGTATTTTGTCGAGCCACCTTATGCTTTAATTACAGACTTTAGTCTGTTGGGATATGTCTCTACTAAAGGCCAAAGTATACTTCGGCCGTCCGCATTACGTCATTTTCGTCATCAGGAGAGCTCGCGGAGAGCCGCGCACCCCGTCCGCGTGCAGGCAATTTTTTGAGACCTCGCGGATGGTGCGCGTACAACAGAGCATGCGCGAGGTGAATGTTGAGACAGAGTAGGTGGTACTGCGCATGCCTTAACTTTGCAGATCTAGACTTTTCAGTATTTGTCCACTCTTTTTTGCAGAACTGCTCAAGTTCAGTTAAAGGGGTCATATGATGTTGCTAAAAAATAGTCACGTGTTCATGAGGATTAGGCAAATCATCCCATATAGAAAACATCACAAGTAAAATTAATTATGTTTATAAAGATAAAAATGGGTTTGTTATAGCCCACTTACAATTTACATTTCAGAGATCATTACAAATAAATTATTCAACTAGACCATGCAAGGACATTCACCTTTTTCTCCTTCAACCACTGTGTGGTCAGTTTTGCTGTGAGCTTTCTGCTTTAGGTCGTTGTCATATTGGAAGGTAAACCTTCTTCCCATTGACAATTTCTGGGAGAGGGCAGCAGATTTTCCTCAAGAATTTGACGGTATTTTGCCCCATTGTACCAAATACCTTCCACTTCATAATAATAGACTTCACCGTGCTTCTAGGCATTGATAAAGCTTTTGACATTTTTTGTATCCATCTCCTGACTTGTGCCTGTCCACAACTTTATCCCGGATATCTTTTGACAGTGCCTTGCCACTCATAGTTGATTGTTTGCTTCAATTGCACAACCAAGGACTGGTAGGACCAAGGACAAATGCTCCAAGAAAGCTCTTTTCATGCTGAGCTAATCAAAATGACCATAGCTGATCACAGTTGAAAGTTAAATGGCTTTGTGTGCCACTGAGAAAGTGATTAGCTACATCTGATTGAGTTATCTTTCACTTGGATGTTATAAGTTGCACTGAGTGATTCTTTTCTATACCCACTGTAGATGCTAATTTTCTGTCATTAGAATGATATGAAATTGCAACAAATTGAAGTGCTTTCATGTTTAATACACATCTGAGTGGCATCTAAATGCTGGCCTGAGTCCATTTACATTCACCTGCTGCAGCCTCTATATCCAAACCATTAAAACTCAGGTGTGAAAATAAATAAAGGAGAATATCATTACTATATGCACCAATATCAAAAAATATTCCACTGATCATCTGGATGGCTAATACCAGTAGACTTTATTTATCCAGAAAAAGTTATTAAATTGTTGTTGCTTTTTTGTTTACCAAGATATGTTATTGAGGTATCATACATTGAATAGTCACGTCAATACCATGCATTTTCAGCATATAAAAATAAAAAGAGCCCTTCCCTCCTTCCATAATCAGTTCTATCAAAGATAGACTTAAGAGGAAAGAGGAATAAAATGGGTCAATGGTTATGACAGTGAAACTGCAATGCGTGCATTTTGTATTTCACTTCTCTTCTTAAAGGTAGGCAAATTATCAAAAATCATTTAATCTCTAATTAACTCTTCATTTCCAATTAATCAACCTACAAATGCTTCATTTTTTTTAAAGTCATATTGTCTATATTTCTTAAAAGATGTATATAAATTTGTTTATGAGTAATAAGGGACACCCCGGCCCACGAACTACCGACAGAGTCATTATTTTGGATTTAGCTTTCTGCTGCCACCCAGCGGTGTGTATTAAAACACACTGTCTGTCTGATGCTACGGGTCCCAATTAAATAATCATCAACGTCACTGAATAATTATATTTGAAGCATTAAAACACCACATCCAGCGTATTTAATTCGTTTGCCCCACATCTAAAAGCTAACTGTAGTATAAGTAGGGTTGTATGCACTCGTCCAGTGAACAGTCAAGAACTGATCAAAGAGATGCATCTGGCTCCATGTTTCAGAAAGCCTCAGAACCTGGAGCTCGCGGAGAAAGACTTTCGTGATCCCCCAGAAGCTTTCGTGACCCTTCCTTCGTCATCCTTCGCTTATGCACACGCAGAGGAATCCTTAAATCCCTGCAGAGGAATAACAGCCAACCTGCCGTGCGCAAGCAGAGCCACGTACGGGGCTTAATGATTCAGATGCAGAGAGATTACATATGTTTACTTGCAAACATCTTTCACTCTTACATTTTTTATGTTTTCATTTAAGGTAATGACCAAAAAATAAAAAAAAATAAAACCTGCAGTAGCTTTGTCGTGTTTGTTGCTTATACAGAACGAGCAATCATCAGATGGTTCATACAAAAGAATCGTTCCACGGTTTATCGGTTGCCATGAGAACGCGTCCAATGAGATGAAGTTTGCCTCAGTGAGCTGAGGAACAGATGGATGGATGGACCGACAGAAAGAAAGAACGATAGCTAGATAGAACGATAGATAGATAGATAGATAGGTAGACCAGTGAGCTGAGGAACAGATGGATGGATGGACCGACAGAAAGAAAGAACGATAGCTAGATAGAACGATAGATAGATAGATAGATAGGTAGACCAGTGAGCTGAGGAACAGATGGATGGATGGACCGACAGAAAGAAAGAACGATAGCTAGATAGAACGATAGATAGATAGATAGATAGGTAGACCAGTGAGCTGAGGAACGGATGGATGGATGGAACAATAGAAACAAATTACAATAGACAGACAGACAGGAACACATACATACATAGATCAGTGAGCTGAGGAACAGATGGATGGATGGAACGATATAACAAGAGAAACAAAGAACGACAGAATGATAAATATAGACAGATCAGTGAGCTGAGGAACAGATTGATGAATGAAAAGAAAGAACAACAGACAGAGACAGACAGACAGACAGACAGACAGACAGAGAGACAGACAGATAGATAGATAGATAGATAGATAGATAGATAGATAGATCATATTCCTATTCCCATTCCTATTCACTGCCACGCCATTCTCATTTGAACCAGATCATGAAACATTTGGGAGCCTCTCTTTGATCTTCAGTGAATGGCGCAGGTTTGTTTGTGTATAGTATATGCTGGTCTGACTGTATGAATGTATCTTTGATTCAAATGCGATTATACATGTAACCTACAATTACTGATGCAGACATGTTTGTACCTTGCAGATTCCCAGTAATATATGCATCTCTACTGTTTTTGTCCTTTTTAGTATAGTCTTCACAAGGTGGGTGTAAATAAATATTTAAAATATGGGGATTTCGGTCTCAAAGGAACTGATTACTAATCATGCAAAAGAGCACAACTGGAACATGATTATAATTTTAACAGCAATGCACAGGGGAAGTGTGCAGGCAGAAACTGCTAATTGGTTCAACAGTTGAGAAATATTACCTAAAGATCAGTGAATCATTTAGAACAATCCCAGCAGACTCCTCAACCGAGTGAACAACAGCCATTGCCCTTTTGCATTGACTAGAGATCAGCTTTGCCATTTCTTCAGTAATTGTAGAATAAGGATGAGGCTAAGGGAGCTAATTCAATGCAAAATATCAAGTGGTAGTATCTGGAGCCGTTTTAGAGAATTAACAGCAGAGCACTGTGATGGAAGATGTTGTGGAAACGAAGGACAAAATAGAAAAAGAAACAGACTT